ATATAATATATATATTTTAAATTAATGCTATGAACGTTTATATATATATATATATATATATATATATATATATATATATATATATATATAGATAGATAGATATATATATAGATAGATAGATAGATGTATATATATATATTAAATTCAGTCAACGAATGTTTGCATTTATATTCTTTTCGTTCACATTACAATTGTATATATATATATATATATATATATATATATATGTGTGTGTGTGTGTGTGTGTGTGTGTGTGTGTGTGTGTGTGTGTCTGTGTTTGTTTGTCTCTCTCTCTCTCTCTCTCTCTCTCTCTCTCTCTCTCTCTCTCTCTCTCAGTTCGTAATGTACAAGCGAGTTACGAATACAGTAAAGAAAACAAGTTTCGTGTTTTCGGAAGCCCTGAACCGAAATTCTTGAAAATAAACCAACATTCGTTTGTGTTGATTTTGAACTCTGGTGGTTTTCGTCTTACATTTTTGAAGCATTCATGACAAACGAATGATCAAAGCTTGGAAATACTCACGAGCCGCCTAGCGTAAGCACAATACCAAATCTATGATGTTCACTATATATATATATATATATATATATATATATATATATATATATATAAAGTATGTCTACATTCGGATTTGTTTTCATACGAGTGGATTCTTGTACGTCTACATTTCTGTTGTGTCTAAAGGTGCGTTGAGATGTTCTCAGCTCGATTGAATAACCCTTCTCAGTCACATTCTGATATTTGGTAATATAGCCAAAATTATGGGAATTAGGTCGACCCAGAGTTTGAGCGTACTTGCCTGTTGAGTCCGACAGCTTATGCGATCGCTCCCAGAAGAGTTGCAGTATACATCTCAGGCTAACCCTGCTTTGCATAAGCATAAATGTGCCAAGACAGGAGTCTGCTACAGGAATTAAAAATCAGAAATAATAATAATAAAAAAAACAAAACAGAATAACCAACACTCAATAATATCAATAATGAACACGGCCACAACGTGCTGACCGTGTTTGGAAAAAAGATGCTCAATATCCGGAATGGAGCGCATCTAAATGTAAAAGAAGAAATTGAGGTCTACACCAAGAGTCTGTTCCCTGTTTTTCGTGTGATTTTAAGGTCATTGCCTTCAAACATGTCACAGAATTTCGCCACTCGGTGTTGACTTCAGCATCCACTTATATATACTTTTTGTTTATATTAAAGAGAAGAGATAAGCCACAAACGTTTTTGATTATAATGTGGATTTTTTTAAATATATATTAAACTTATTTTCCATATATTTGCTACACAGGTTTCCGGTCTCACGACGTTCATCAGCCAAAGAGTGTTTATTTCCACATATTATTAAAAGGAATTAATTTTCTTTATGTTCAGATAACACAAAAATTTGTCTCTGACAATACTAGATACTATAACATTCATTTTAAAATATGTGTGAGTATTCATAATTGAAACCAAACCTTAATATATATATATATATATATATATATATATATATATATATATATATATATATATTAGTGGCTGCGCGCTGCTGATGAGTCTCAAACGAGACGGTTGTCCAGTGCTTTCTGCATTCTGTTGAGGTTTTTTCTAGACTCGATGAATTACTTAATGTATGGTTTTACAAATATTTAGATGTGAATATTAACATTTTATTTTCTTGAAGTAAATAATTTGTGTGGATTCGTGTGTTTTTTCCTGCTTATTTTACATATAAAATTCATTATTTTTCTATTAGTTACGTTTATTTTAAATACAAATGGAAAAAAATAACAATCCACGTATAAAATGTGGCCTGCAATGTTATGCGTCCTAACCTGGTATCTCAGATTCAATCCATTTCCTATCGCCGTAATGTAGCTTCCCTCTGCCTTTTCTATAAATACTTTCACGGTAATTGTGCTGAGGAACGTTCCACTATAATACCTAGACTTTATGAATTTAAGCGCAGTACTAGATTGGAGACAAGTGCTGTAACCGTAAGTTCTATGCTAACAGTTTCTTCCATCGCGATTCTTGATGACAAAAAAATTTAAATCTCCTCGTTGGCTCCTTTTTAATCCGAGTTCTTTAACTTTGATCTCTCAAATTTTAAATGTATTTTGTCAATCGTTATCTCCTGTCTTTTTGTCTTTGATCTTCAAAAATCTTTTATATTCCTCTTCTATCTTCTTAATTCCAGTTCTTTTATTTTTTCTCATAGTTTTTTCATTACTCTCTCAGTATCCCATTGCATCCTAGTGGCTTTATTGTCTTGATCTTCAAATCTTCAATGTCAAAAATCTTAAATTGTCAATGTCAATCGTTATCTTCTGTCTTCTTAATTCCAGTTCTTTTATTGTCCTCTCATTCGTTATCTTCTGTCTTTGGTTCTTTTATTTTTCATTATTTCTATACTCTAACACTCAGTATCCCATTGCATCCTAGTGGCTTTATTGTCTTTGATCTTCAAAAATTTAAATGTCAATCGTTATCTTCAATCGTTCTTTTATTCATTTTGTTTTTTCTCATATACTCTTCAGTATTGCATCCCTTCTTTATTGTCTTTTCATTTTATTGTCCGTTATTCTTTGTCTTCTTAATTCCTGTTCTTTTATTTTTCTCATTAATTAGTTTTTCTCATATTCTCTAACACTCAGTAACCCCTTGCGTCCTAGTGGCTTTATTGCCTTGCTTGGGGTGAAATGATTAAAAAAATATATTAAATTATGTAGTTCTGAATACCAGCACGACAGTTTTATTTTCACTTATTATGGGATTTTTTAAAATTATTTTCACTTATTATGGGATGTTTTAAAATGATTTTTGGAACGACTCTGCGGTTTTTACGAAATTCAACCAATTTTACTGCATTTCATTTTGCGTAATGCTTGGCACTCTTCCCCACTCCGGCTGCATGGTCTTCAAAATGCTCCGGTAAGCTTTTGGCTAGCATTCGTTCAGTCGAACACAGATTGTTAAGTGGCATGTCCGTTTCAAGGCCGGTCGAGTGTCGGTTCAAGGTGACGAGTGCTCAAGCCGACCAATCAACAGCTAAATGCCAGGAACTGTGAGGAAACAAATTCGTGAACTCATCGACAATGAAGATCGCCAAACACTCCATCAAATTTGTCACCTGATTCGCATCAGTTCTGACATCTGACACGAGGTACTTGTCCGGGAACTTTCCGAGAGCACGTCGTGATTGCGCGTTGTTTACAAATATTTTCCGTCTACTTGTTGAAATCTCGGTGCTTAGCAGTCGGTTTTTATTATATACACTCATGACGAAAAGTTAAAACATCGCCCATAAGGATCACTCTTCTCTTTCGTCCATAACATCTGTGGAATATTAAACATTTCCTATAACAAACACGAAACAGCCACGCTCCTATGAAAATGTGAATATAAAATGTGATTTTATCAATGCTCAGATCGCAAAGAGATTGCCTGAAACTGCTGAAATTAAACTTTCAAAACGGAAAACTATACCAATATATATATATATATATATATATATATATATATATATATATATATATATATATATATATATATGAAACATTAGGCAGCATATAATTTATATACAAAAGAAATAATCACGCATAGAATCAATCAGCAATATTAATGCTATTAATGGCGATATCCCATCGCTAGTAGAATATAATGTATGCTTTAAAATACTGTTAATCCATAGAATGATGTGATCCTCATCTCTAAAGAAAATATGCCTGAGGATGAATAAAGGATCATTCGAAAGTACTTGCATTTTAAAAAGATATAAACTGGAAACAACAGACAACAGTTTTATAAATGCATACATTACGTTTCTACTAGCGATGGGATATCGCCAATAATAGCATTAATATTGCTGATTGATTCTATGCGTGATTATTTCTTTGTATAAATATATATATATATATATATATATATATATATATATATATATATATAAAAAACAGAGGATGTCTGTGTGTTTGTCTGTCTGTCCGTTTGATACCTTTTTCACTCAAAATTCATTCAACCGATTTTGACCAATCTTGGCACATACATTCTACAATGTAAGAGACAGGTTCTTAGCGTAAAAAATCGATAATTAAAAAAAAATCAATAATCGATAAAGCCGATCAAATATCGATAAACTCAACGTTTTTTCCTTCGCTTTCGTTCAAACTCGGTATGTAGGTTACTTGCATGATGAGCTCAACGATACTTCATTTTTATTTCTACGACACCGCGTTTAGCAAAAAACCGCGAAAAACGAAAAATCAATTTCAACACAAATCAATTTCAACACAAATTAAAAACACCCTCAATTTTCAATCAATCTTAAACAAACTTCACTCAATTGTACCCAACTTAAAACTTGAGTCCGCCCATATAGTGAAAACCCGCGTAAATAGCGAAAAAGTCTGAAGTGGGTCTTCATGTTGCCTGTTTTACCCCTTCATGTCCTTGGCTAACTTCAATTGAATAAATACAGACTACTTCTGTTATATTAGTAACTGAATTAATTCAAAATTTTAATGAAAGTACTTTAAAGTAATTGAAGAAGATAGACTCTGTTGCATCTAAAAATGATGCTGTTTTTGCTCCATTCTAATTGAACGCTTTTTTGATCGACCAGCTGGCAATGGTTGCTAATAGATTAATATATATATCTATACCTTCTATATAAATTATATATACAATCTATATATACTTATATACATTCTATATAAATTATATATATGTGCATTCTATATATGTACATATATACTTATATCCATATATACGTTCTATATAAATTATAAATAAATTTGTAATCAGTTTCTTCTTGATTGTAATAAAGTTCCCTAATTCTCTGTCCTCCTTTACGGCACCGAATGTTGGACGGTCTCCTCAAAGATGAAGAAGAGACTCGAGGCAACAGAGGTATGGTTCTACAGAAGGATGCTAAGGATGCAATGTACCGAACATGTGAGCAAGGTCGAGGTTTGGGAGAGGATGCAAACAAAGTGGAAGCTTATAATTAACATCAGGAAAAGGCAGCGGAAGTTCCTGGGGCACGTAATGAGAAAGGAAGTCTTGGAAAATCTGAGATAGATAGATAGATAGATATGATGAAAAAAAGAAAGATAGATAGATAGATAGATAGATAGATAGATAGATAGAAAGAAAATGTGATAGATAGATAGATGGGGAGGCAGACTGATATATATGTTGAGAAAACAAAAGATAGAGATAGATAGATAGATAGATAGGGAGGCAGATTGTGATAGATAGATAGATAGATAGATAGATAGATAGATAGATAGATAGATAGAAAAGAGCAGACTGTGATAGATAGATAGATAGATAGATAGATAGATAGATAGATAGATAGAAAAGAGCAGACTGTGATAGATAGATAGATAGATAGATAGATAGATAGATAGATAGATGAAAGAGCAGACTGTGATAGATAGATAGAGATGAATAGATAGATAGATGATAGATAGAAAGAGCAGACTGTGATAGATGATAGATAATAGATAGATAGATAGATAGATAGATGAAAGAGCAGACTGTGATAGGATGAAAAGTTAGATGATAGATAGATAGATAGATAGATAGATGGGATACTGAAATAGATAGATGATAGATGGATGGATGAATGGGGGGCAAATTGTGATAGATAGATAGATAGATGGATAGATAGATAGATAGATAGATACGAACAGACTGATTAGTTTGATAGATAGATAGATGAATAGATAGATAGATGATAGATAGATAGATGAATGAATAAATACGAACAGACTGATTGGTTGATCCATAGATAGATGATAGATAGATAGATATGAATAGATAGATACGAACATATGATTGGTAGATAGATAGATAGATGATGATTGATAGATAGATAGAATGGGAGGCAGACTGATATATATGTTGAGAAAACAAGTGATAGATAGATAGATAGATAGATAGATAGATAGATAGATAGGGAGGCAAATTGTGATAAATAGATAGATAGATAGATAGATAGATAGATATGAACAGAATGAGATAGATAGATAGATAGATAGATAGATAGATAGATAGATAGATACGAACATACTGATTGGTAGATAGATAGATAGATTGATAGATAGATAGATATTTGTGTATTTAAGCAGCAATCCTTTCATGCACATTTCATTGAATACAACAGACAAGGTGCTTTTATTTAGTTTTTTTATACAATTTCTCATGCGATCTAATAATTTTTTTTTATTTTCAAATGATAAATTATATAAAAACTCTCCGAATGTTCTTTTTATCCGAGCGCTTTCGGCTATACATTTAGCCATTTTCAAGGATTGAATATTTCAACTGTTGAATAAGAAATATTTTGTTGCATGTATGTTTTATAAAATGTTTTCATTTTTCAAAACACAGTTAAAATATTGTATCAATGTTCATAGTTAATATTATTAAGTGTTGGATTTTTGTTTTTATTAAAAAGGCTTCCATTATTTTTAGCCTTTTTTTCATGTAGATGATGCTATTATATTTGTGCTGTCAACAAGTATGTTACGAATTGTGTTCGGTAGGTCTCCATGAATATTTAAATGAGATCTAATTGAGCTATGGTCAGAAAGATGTAGAGTGAGTCTTCGTGTCAAACATGTTGTAGTGTGGCCTATATAATTATTGATGAATTTTACATGCTAAAAGGGCTAAAAATTCGGTTGTCTTGAATGGCTCTTGAGCCTTGTATTGGATGAACATTTAGTAAAAATTAATAAATGACATAAAATAAACACATGCCAAGTATTCTTTCCACAAATATATTATGTATTTCATTCTTTGTTTCTTTTCTGTGTTTCTTTTTCTTTGAGTTTTCTTTCTGTCTGTCTGTCTGTCCATTTCTTTTTTTATCGACTTCAATACGACTATGTCAACCTTTTATAGCTAATAATTATTCTTTTTACTCTAACATTTTTATTTTCATTCTTCCATCAACTTTTCGCTGGTTTTTCCGCCATTTTTTTTTTGTTCTCTGTCTTTCTTCGTACTCTCAGACCCATTCATCTTTCTTTGCCAATCACGATTTTTAACGTCAAGACCTAATAATGTCGGTTAGCGTTCATTACGAGGGCGCGAAATTTGAGACGACACAAGGATGGCTCCCAAAAGAAACGATGGAATAAGCTGACAGCTCAGAAATTTGATAGCGACAAATTATTAAAAAAAAAAAAAAATTAAAAATATCTTTATAAAATGAAGTTACTGTCTGTCTGTTTGTCCGGATTCAACTAAGAGAATAAATAGCTATATAAAAAAAAATAACAAAAAATGAATTAAAATAACAGAACAAATTAGAAATAAATGTCTTCTTTTTCTTAATTATTTTTATATCCGTCTATCGTAATGAACGTTTGGCGTAGACATCTTGAATGTAACCCTAAATAACGGTTCCTATTTATCGATTTCTTTCACTTTACCTAGTAACATGCGTCACTTTATACTAGGTTACATAGTGTTGGCAGAACTAGATTTATGATTTTCCGAAGACCAAAATGAACGACCTAATCCCGAATTTGAACTCAACCTGCTTGCTCCATTTTCCGAAATGATAACCGTTAGTATAGCTGTGCACATCTTACGGTTAATGCCAGTCTAGTACTGCGCTTAAATTCAAAATGTAAAGAAGATATTATTAAAGAAGGCATTATTCATTTAGTAAGGAAGAAGTTCAACTCAGGCCGCTTCTCCCCCCAGAATAGTTACTTGTGCAATGAATTCCCAAGATGGTCATCGCGACTAGCTCTTCCGAAAAAATACCGTGAAAGTATTTATAGAAAATGCACAGGGAAACAAGCTTACGGCGGTGATGAAGTTACTGATGCCGAGCGGCCAGGTTAAGACTAATAATATTGCCGATTATTCTTTCGATTTTATCAATGAACTCAAGGTAAATGGCAAAGACATCGGATCGTATGTGACAGTAATATTCTAATCAGGGACGAATAAATATTGGACTCTCCCGTCGTTTTTCGACGTATGAGGGTCAAGCAACTCAGGAACCGACAGCTCAGACACATGATTTGATTATAGAGGTGAAGGCTTGTGCAGAACCAACCACAGTTTTTGGGGCAATCCGTGACACAAGGTCCCCAAACGACCCTACGCAGGTTTTGAATTCAGAGTCTTCCTTCTCCTAGAGCAGTTGCCATTCAAGACTATAGAACCACTTGTCTGTCCTAATATTTAGCCAGAGCGGGAAAGAGGAGAAAAGGATTAATGCCTTTTCCCAAGGGTATTAGCACGTAAGTGAATGTAATGGATTCGACTGGAATTCGAACTCGGCTCTCCGATTCCTCAATCCTATCCACTTCTTAACCGTGCCTCCCCCCACTCTCTCGCTCTCTCTCTCTCACGATATTGAGTCACCCCCCCACGAGGGGGTCATGTGGCACAAGGCCTTTTTAACGTGGGCATTCCGAGCCCGTGGGCTCGGCCAAAAATATGCCCCTTGAACCCGTGTAAACGGGTTCAGGGCCGGTTTTACCTCCCCGAAGGTTTTACCTCTCTCTCTCTCTCTCTCACACACACACACACACACACACACACACACACACACACACACAAACATAGCACATAACTGACTGATATATATAAATGTATCTACCTATCTATGTTTCTATACAGCCTTGACAAAACTTGCCATAAAATCAGGGTTGATATATATATATATATATATATATATATATATATGTACAAAATTATTTATTCGAAAATTATAACATATGTTTGTCACTACAAAAATAGCTATTTTGTTTCAACACTTCATTCTACATTCAACACCATCACTTGATAAGACACCAGAAGTGTTGAAACAAAATGGCTATTATTGGAGTTTATAACATTTTATGTTATAATTTTCGAATGAATAATTATATTTGCTCTACTCTGTATTGAGCACTCATTTATGAATAGTATTTATTGCTTATTGGAATTTATTCCATATACATCAATCCTATACTTGTATATATATATATATATATATATATATATATATATATATATATATATATATATATGGTGGACTCTCCCGTCGCATTCGACGTATAAGGGTCAAACAGATCAGTTCCTAGGAAACTGACAGCCAGACACCAGCACATACGAGTTGATTATAGTGGTGAAGGCTTTTGAAGGGCCGAATACAGAAACCTGATGCAATACGTCCCACAAGGTCCCCAAACGACCCTCAGCAGGTTATGAATTCAGTGTTGTCCTTCTCCTTGACCAGCTGCCATCCAAGGCTATAGAACCCAGTATCAAATGTATTGTTTTGACTTTTTATTACTTTAATGATAATAATAGAAATGAATAAATAAATAAGAAAAGAGAAAAAGTATGAAATTTTCATTAAGTATAGGAAAACATGTTTAATTATTATTCCTGAATGTATTTGAAAGATCAATAATAAAGAAAGAAATTCACAACTGAACCAATAATTAAAAAAAAAGAATTAAGCAAAAGAATATGACTAAACGTTGAATTAAAGGGAGATAACTGAGACATCCAGAAGAGGCATGGCATGTGAAACAATCTACTGCGGTGGATGAAATAAAGTTTTCAGTTCGAAATTCCAATCACCTGAAGAATGCTGTAGCGTACAACGGTCGAAGCGTCGTAAATATGTCAATAAAGATGAGGACAACAGTCCGAACAATATAAATAATATAAATAATTAAAATACCTCATCTTAGGACTGTAGACAGATAAAACATAGATAATTGAAATAAAGACTTCACTTTTTAAATGCAACATCACTTTCTTTGAGCAACTGAAAAAAAAAAACGATCGTTCACTCCGATATCAGCGTTTATTTCTACGCAAAGTGACAGTTAAGCGGAACTTCCTCATTACAAATGGAATACGAAAGCAGTCAGAATGTTTCGACTCTGTGCACATGGCATAGCGAGTCCTAGCTCAGAATGTCTTAACTGGAGGAATTAATTATCATCATCCATTGACTACCCTGTGGTTAGTCGGAACAGCATTGACAGTCCCTTTTCCACGCTGTACGGTCCTGTATTGATGTCCTCTGTTTTTCTTTCTCCAGATCCCCAATGTCCAACCCTGAGTGCCGAGCTATGGCGACTGGGAAAGTCAATTTTCGTGAGAGAACACTTCCTGAAGAATGCCATACAAATAAGGATAAAACGATTTCTCTGTCCACTCGGTGGCAATGGCCGGCAAATTGTAATCATTTTTGTATGAGGTTAAGAGAGATTGTTCTCAGTTCTCTGTAAATTGTGTTAAGCGTTGCATGGGATCTCCAACTGATATTCTTGATTTTTCCAAGTAAATGTGGATATGTTCCATTCAGTTGTCTTCTGATGGAATTAAGTAATGTAACACGTGCGAACATTTGCCATGGAAATAGCGACAGTGTAACGGGAGGTTGACAACGTTTCTGTGGAAAAGGAGTCGCAAGTGATAATTGGATATTTCTAATCTGGAAATGTCAGAATTATTCCATTCTTTCTGCGGTCTAGAGTCAGTTTTAATCCCCAAAGATGTTCGAGGGAAGGAACCCCATTTCCAGATATTTCTCAATTATTCTATTTTTTTTCTTTTCTTATCTGATCTGACTCTTGTAATGGAAAGAGGAGTCAAGAATTTTCTGGTATCTGTACAATGTGCCGACCGTTTTTCAATCATATTTAGCGATGATACAAGTATACAAGTTTTACATTAGGTCTCGAGTCAGTTTTAGTCCCCAAAGAGGTTCGAGGTAAGAAACCTCATTAAGAGTGCAATCCTTCCTCATGACTGGAGTAAATTTAGTACCCGCTAGGTTATGTTTAAACGTTAGGAGCTTTTTTTTATTAAAACTTGGTATGTCTGTTCTCCGCACCTATTTCCCTAGAGAGTGTTCAGATGAATTATACCCCTTAGTCCTAACATTCACGACTAGTACCCGACATGCCACGCCCATTATAGCGAACCCCACCCTCATTCTCTTCGTATCCTTTTGGCAACATGTAAGTATCACTCGTGCGATTTCTTACCACAAAGAACCTACTCCCAAGAGGTTACTTCCCCGAGCACTACAATCTTAATATTTTCAAGTTTTTGCTTAATCGTTATCTTCTACACATATGAGCATAACCTCCGGCTCTTAAT